TGATAAACCCCGTATGTCTGCATAATGACCTCTTCTGAATAAAGGTTAGAACAACCATAAACTAAATTTAAGAGATCTATGACTATCATCATTATTTACAACATCAGCGTTCCAAGTTTTGGGCAAGGAAAGAGTTCGGAGAAAACAATAAGCAATGTTCAGGGACAACTGTAACCTAGTAGCTTTACAATTCCGACTGTAGTCATAACATTTGAATTTCAGAGCCAGATTTATTTGATGTAGGCGGACAACTCCTTTGCTACTCGTCGCAGAGGGAAATCATCTAAGCGGGCGAGGAATATGTAATAAACCCGGATTCAGAAATTAAATTATTATGATAAATGAATACCTGTTGGATTGCTGAACTACAATGCTGTAGCTACCTTGGCATATCCAGGTCATGTTTGTATATATATTTTCAGAATTGAGCAGCGAATTTAGTCTGTGCTCGAACTCGCCCATGTTCGATCCATTTCAAAGACAGGGTTCTGCATCAAATGCAATGAAAGTGCTAAGACACATGGATCCGTAGTCTACTTAAAAGACACTTGCTGCCATTGTTTTTATAGACTAATTCAGGGTTATACTGTTAGACCATTAGAAATCATTTTGCAGACTCATAGAGGTGACGTTGATATTCCTCTCCGCAAACAGGTCTGCCTCAACGAGGTTTTTCCTCAGTTTTTATTGTCCTCTCACACGTCCTATGCCGGTGAGCGGATCATGAGAGAAATGTTTTGAATATATTTCCATTCTCTTGCTTGGGCCGTTTTATCAAACTAAGCTAGAAGCAGGTCTCTAGGTATATCTGATCGCGTTTTCAGATCAGTGGTCGTCAGTTGTTTGCAATCCAGTAACATAACATCACTTCGTGGATGGTGCGCAGGCAGCGTTGTTGGAAGCTGTTGATACGAGCCCCATGACACTTCAGGATAGTAAATATTTTGTGATCTTCATGTTCCGATCCTGCCATATGCCATACACGTTGTCATAATTGCTTTAAAGATCCTGTAAGTGGCAAAAGAAGGTGCGCCTGCGCTGAATAAATCCGGTATCAGAAAATAAACTAGCCCAGACTTGATTTGAAATGACACAGCAGAATGGATTAAAATTAATGTCGAATACTCGAAGAGATATTTGGTTTTTTTGTCGTGCGCAAATATCGGCACTACAAGAAGGTGCCTGTGAGCTTTGCTCTAGGCACAACCACGAGTCGATGCATGAATGCACTTTTCTTCAGCCCAACTCCGAGATACGGCTATATGCGCATTTCAAGGGGTTAAGTACTGCGGATTTGTAATCTGTTCAAATGGTATCACTAAGAATTTAGAAGCAAAGGTAGATGATGAAGCGCTATGAAACGTTATCAGTCATTTCCTCAGGTATTATTATTTGTGCAAATCAACTGAATTTATTTGTATGCCATAAATCATGCAGAAGGTACCTGTTTCACAGCGTTCGCCCTCGAAATCCGTTTCCTCGCAATTACACCGGGCGCCATCGTCGGTGCTGTAGCACACGCCGTGGTTCAGGCAGATGTGTTCGACGCAGTAATCGATGTCAGTTTGTCGCACGCCGACAGAGTCGAGCATCGCCGGCACGGTCATGCCGTTGGGCAGCGTCCGATACATGAGGTTGCGAATGGAGCCTTCGAAGTGGACCATGAGTTTCACGGCTGGGTACGACAGACTGTCGGGCGAGGATGATTGAGGGACACCACCAATGAACACGTCGCTGTTCAGGTCGTAGCTGCCGAACACGAATTCGTTGTGCTCCACCGACTTGTATACAGACAAGTCGTCTAGCTGAAGTTGAACTCGCTCCCAGAATTGGTAAAGATTGACTCGGTGCCATTTACGATCATTTAACGACAGCGAATCGATGGTCGCCACCTGGACCGGGTGCTGCTCGGCTATAGTTGCTCCTGACTGCTGTTTGCCAAGACTGAACAACAGCTGCAGCCGGCCAGACACGAGGCTAATCTCGAAGAAGTTGCTGCCTCCACCGTCATCCGTGTACAGCAGCAGGCCATTCGGTTTTCCGGTGACAAATTCGAAGCTGAGCGTGTTCTCGAACGCGTGGTACCACTTCGGAAAACGTACGTAACAACCGGGAGAGCCGTCCAGCGTAAACCCGTTCAACCGTTGACATACGTGCAGTAACAGCGACATGAGTAGAGATAGACGTACCACTTCACGCATGGTTAACAGCTATGGTAAATGCGGCAATTTCATGAATCCAGACGACGGCTGGTGGCTACCCTTAGGTCTCGAACATTCTTCCTTGAACTAGAAACTTCCGTTGTTGAGAAGCGGTCACTCGAGTCCGGATACCTAAACAAAGCGCACAGCCTGTAAAAAGGAACAGTGATGAATGACCATGCGTAAATTTAAACTGAAAATGAGTGGTTAAAGAAGTAGTGTGTAAAGAATAAATCGATTTTTGATCGTTGCGTGGCAGAGTATTTACACGACGACGACCATCGCAACGGCAGCGCTGACAGTGCGAAAGCTTGTAGTTGTTGCGATTGCGACAAGTCCATCGTGTCACCAAAATCCAAACAGTGGCATCGTCTTGTTGAAACAGAAAACAGTCAGTTCAGTCATTTAGTCAGCCTCAAGTGATTGCCGTTAACGCTTCCTCTGACCGCCATCACCGGCGCATCTCAAACAGCGACCCGCGGCGGCGGCAGTAAAATGTTCCTTGGTTTTCCGTTTTAAGTAGAGGCTCTTGTGAATATCCTAATTGCACCTCAATGGGCTTATGTCTGCTTCATTATCTGAATAACATGGTTTTCGCCCAGCGGACCTACGAAAGTGCTTCGTATCTGACGCAATGCAGATGGAAGATCACTATTCCAATCTCCAAGTCATTCAAAGAACCAGATGACTATCTCTTCTGACAAAACCAGATGGAATTAAATAAAATATGCTTTTTTACCAAGCGCACAGCCATGCTTGATGGACATGAACTTCAGTCAAAATATGTTTCTCAACGGTGGGGGCGTAAATTGTACTGTACAACCCGATCTAGATCGAGTAATATTCTTACTTAACAGCAAGTTGTCAGCTTCACTTCAACAGTCTATTATGAAAACAGATTCAAACAAATCAAAATATGTACCTGCTCATTCCTGACCTAGTCTAAACAGCTCATCAGGCATTATGACACTAAACAAAAGCAGGTTTGTGATGTCGATTGAGTAATTTCGATCGTTACGCTCTGTATCCGACAAACGGGCGCTGCCAAGTGATGTAAATGGAAGAAAGATGATTAGTTTTGCATTTGTTCAATATGATTTCAATATCGAACTGCGACACAGAACTATCACCATTAATCATCAGCTGATCAGATTTTTCTCAATAATCACGTATAAATTTATTAACGTCTGTGCTTTGTCTGCCGTCTGCGAAACTTAACCACAAGCTTTTGAGTTGATCAGCATACTTGCTTTCGTTAAAACAACTTTTGGTCGATGAACTCTCTGGACATTTCAAGAGTCTGCTTGAGTCGTACCGCTGGCAGACTAAGCGGCGTCTCTAAAGACTATGAAGAAAAGATATATTAATAGTCGTCAATGCATCTTTTTTTTCATCCATATTCTTGCTCTTTGGAAAGCCATGGATTCACCGCCAGAACGACCTTCAGGTGGCAGATGCTGGACAAATCGATACGGTCGCTATTGGAAGAAATGGAAATTAATGGCGACAAAAATTGTCTAATAAAACCGGTTTTTCAGGCGCTTCCACCTACTGTTTTACTCATTCCCTCTAAATCACCAGCGGAGGAAAGTCAATCAAGGCAATCATTCATAACGAAATTACTCTACAGCTGTGTCGTGGGAGCTTGAGCGTGACGACAGAATCCTCAATTACTCCCTGAAGAATGCCGTTCGTTTTCATTATTGGGGACCATTTGTGGAGCCCTTCTTTTCACGATGGGGTGGTGAAACGTTGATTATGTTGTTCTGCCACTGGTTGGAATCACCTTATTTTCAAGCAAGAGCCTATAGGCATGTGACAATCATAGCGGAAAATCAAGCATAAGAATAATGACTAACGCGACTACCAATGACCCAATGATCCCTTGGATTGTCTGGACAGACTTCCTCACTTGTACTTTGCAACTATTGCAGGTTGTCTTGTAGGTGACAATCGTTTTCCGGAAACAGATCCAAGTCATCGGTGAACTTTAGGTGACAGAGCCCTTCACCATTGATCATAGTCTTATCAATTTACTTTATCGTCACGAACACCACTTCCAGGCAGGCAGTGAAGAGTTTCGGGAGATGATATAATTCTGTTTTATACACTTTTTTGCGGGTATCAGGAAGGAATGTGGAATAGAGTGATATTTGTGAGGCAATCAGAATTCGCTTCTTTTATCAAATTGATATAACTGCTATCACTGCCTTGTTCTGCTAGAGCAGTCGAAAATGCGTTGCACTCGACGGCGTCGACCTGTTTCTCGTAGTCGATGAAGGTCTTGCACAACAAGAGATGATATTCAACAAGCTGATTGAATTTGCAATTGGCCCTGACCTCTTTGCTGCTGTTCACCCAGATTTGTTGGCAGTCTGCTAAGGATAACCTTATTCAATTACTTGCAGACGTGTGACAACAGGCAGATTGAATGATGAACATCACGATTGTTTTTGACGATTGTACAGCACGACTGTTCCCGCCTGATTGTATCCTTTCCGTTTACAGATGGATGGCAACCGAACCACTCCACCAGCGCCCTCCGTAGCGTTTGATTACCTACTCTCATCACTTCTTTATTCACTTGTTGTGTCGCATGTCGAGCAGCACTATGAGAACTGGAAGTGCACTTTCTTGTCGTTGACTGAGTTATGGTAGGAGTGGTTATGTCTTTGACGAAAAAGATGGGTGCAAAGGTTTTTAAACATATACCAATATGTGCTCCGCTAAATTTTAATGTGCCTCCGTACATATTTTTCAATGAAGTGATGGTCGGGTGATAAAATTTTAACTCTCTCCTTCACTATCTCAGATATCTGCGGCCTCCCATTGTTTTTTTAATAATTTTCGCAATTTCTCAAAATTTTCCTGAGCTTCCGTCTACTGAGCTTGGTGACAAAAGAGAACTTCACCGTATCGGTTCCGTGTTGCTTCATCTTCTTCCTCTTCTCTAGTAAACTTTCTGGTTCCACTTAGATCCTTTATTTTTCTCGTTTTGATGCTGCCTCCTCGTGTGACTTCACGCCATTACTTGGTTTCTGAGCAAATTCGCGCAAGGACCACCAGTTTGTCGAATATCTTTGGCCGTTGCCTATGATTTGTCATCTGCAATACGTTCCTCTCGATCTTTTCTTCTAAGGTTGGTGTGACTCGTACCATTCTGTGGTCATTGCTAGTGTTCAATAACGGCGCTACTGTCATATCTCAGGTGATATGACATTTATAGAACAAGACAAAGTCCATGTAGTTCTTCGCCGCTACGCTTAGCGCGATCCGTGCCTATCTATTGTCGATCCTCATCTTGAATCATGCCTTACAAATTTATAAACATTTCGTTTCTTCCATGGTCACCAGCCGGTTGCCTCGCTCGTTTCACTCTCTAGTGCCGTACCTACCAACGAATTTTTCACAGGTATTTCTTTATCATATTTTGACATCGAAGTCTGTCACGACGGCAGGATATGAGGACTCTAGAACTAATGCCTGTTCCAGTTCTTGATGGGAATCTTCCACTTATCTCAGTCATTTGCTCTCGTCAGAGCGTAGGTTTGAACCTATGAGATCTGAAATCTACGTTGTGGACGCATCACGCCATTCATGGCGACTTCACATGACAGGAAGCGATTTTTGGGAACTAACTTTTGCTGGTTATAAATCTAATTCCTTGTAGATTCTTCGCGCCCTCTCCATTTCCTAGCCAAATCGACAATCATCTCCTTTTCTCATATTGTCGTGCAGAGGCCAAGGGTGTCACAGACTATCAATGAACTTTCTCCCACTTGATTCTTTAACATTTCTTCCCTCATGATTGTTCAACAGTTTTAGGTTGAAACTGTGAATTATGTCTGACTCCATTTAAAGATGGAGGCCTTTCACCTAGGATTCATTGCAGCCTCTCGTTAGTCGAACAACAAACTGCCGCTGGGGCACGAATCAAGAGATGCGCAGTGTATTGAGACCCATTTATTTGTGCTGTCATGTAGCATGGCTTCCCGCCGGCAGGCCTGATGGTGGCCTGGGGAATTGCGCAGACAGATCATCTAAGTTCATCCGGCTGTTTATCGAAGTTGTCCGGTTTTTCAGCGTTTGACTAAGTGACGCATAACCGGCTGACTGCGGTAACACTTACCGCATGTTTGCTTCAAAATAGCTGTAACATTCGCTTCGATATTAGATTGTCACTGGGTATAGTGCCTTTTTCTCTGAGGATTGAGCTTGTCGAGTTCGAATCGATTATGCCCTGGTGAACGTTTTCGGACCTCTTCTCAGCTGCCTCACCTTTTCTCGCCTTAGTTGATTTTTTGGGCCCCTACAATTCTTATAGCTCCCTATTTGTTCCAGGTACATGATCTTATTCTGCTGCAGATGCTCCTGGACCGATCCTGCCATGAAAGAATTGATGGTGATTAGCCTTCACATTGTAGGCAATTATGCGATCGCCCCATAGTCACACCTGAAGCCCTCGTCCTTCTTTATCATATAGACGGTACTGGCGGTCAACCAGTGCGGAAGACCGTATCGAGAACTCGTTGCAGAGATATTGCTAACCGTGGATGGAGAATGGTTTGCCTTTTCAATCCTAAGCAGTTTGATTGATCTGACTCTGGAGCTGCCTTGTTCTTCATTGTATTAAGTCAATTGCTGACGTTCTTCTCTGAGATTCAGATGGGGGTCTTGTTCAGATATTTTCCTGGTGCTCTCCTCAAATCGGTTAACCCATTCAACTGTTGTATAATGATTTTCCGCTTGCCTACACATTCCACTCTAGAAATGTCGTCAGCGTTTCGACGACTGCCTCTGTAGTTGTTTCAACTACTAAAAACATTCGTTTTTTTCAAATGGCAATAGGAAAGTTTTGCCTTCTGGGCAAAGGTCCATTTCTGAATGTATTGTTCGTGTCTGCTTTAGAACGCACAGTGTTGAGAGGATACCGCGAGCAATCTTTGTTTCCCATCCTCACAGGCAGCGGCCATTGATCTACGTGGTCCGATCCTGCACTT